GCATCCCCCAAACCACTCCAGCATGAGGGTAGACAACCTGATAAATGCAAGAACCTGCCCTCCCTTCGGCACCTTTTCTACCACGCTTCCCCTTCCAGGCAGCCTGAGCTGTTTTATCACTTTCTCAAAAGGAAAACGCTGCCGAGTCCCCAAACCTCACAGCAGCAGGGCACTGGAGATAAGGCAGGGAAAATATTTCACTCGCAAGGAAACCGCGCTCATCTCGCGCTAACGTCCCCATCCTCTGGAATCCAAGGCAATAATTACAGCAATTTGTAGATAATTATTTGTTAATTAAAAACAGGCTTGCTGGGTACAGTTACCAATTTCCTCCGCTGCCTGCATAGGGCTGTGCAAGGAGACACTGGGGGATTGCCGGTTTCGTAAAATCGTTTGCTTGTTCAGTTTGGAAAAAAAGCCCCCCGTGGGTTGTCTCCCCCCTCTCCCCACATCCTGGCAGGTCTGATTCATTCTCCTAAGGCATCCGGGAGACATCCGTGCCTGCCTTTCCCTTGGAGATTTCCAGCAAAGGTGACTGCCGCATCCCCCCCGACTGTAGCCTGTTTCCCCAGCTAATTTAATGACCCTGTGCTCACACAGACTCATTTCCAAACACATTTAAATTAGTAGCTCCTAAAGAAGGCATCGTGACCCCAAGCCAAGGTCATGAGCCTGGGAGAAGCTCACCTCCATCCCATGTTTATATTAGCAGCAATAAATAAACAGTGTGTAGAGGGAGTTACAGCAAACTAAAGCTGCCGGCTTAAATAGTGCTGTTGTTGGGGGCAATTATTCTGCCCGAGGCTGGGCAGTCTGTGGCTCTTGGTAGCATCCCAGGAGTAGTTTCCATGACAGCTATGAGAAGAAGTAATGACAAGATTTCAGATGTCCCCCACTAAATACTGCGCCCACGAGGAGTGTGCCTTGGGATGATGCCCTTCATGATGTGCCAGGATTTTGGATCTTATGAGTCCTCTGTCTCTGTTTCTCCTGCAGAGCACACCTTTTCCTGGACCCACCACGATCCACCAACCCACCAAGCTGCTCCAGGGTCCCCCACAATTCCAGAGCCAGGAGGAATTACTTATCCCTGGAAGCAAGAAAGTCACATAGCTCCTGATCTGCTGGATTGAGCTGGCTACACAGGACTTCATCCAGGCGGGCTTTGAATATCTCCAGAGAAGGAGCCCAGAAATGGACACAGTACTCCAGGTGGGGTCTCACCAGGGCAGAGTAGAGGGGGAGGATAACCTCCCTCGACCTGCTGGCCACACTCCTCTTAAT